CAAGAGAATAAACTATTAGAATAGAAGTGACGTTTGTATCTATCTAGTTCGACAGTAAAACAGTGAGAGCTACTTGCCAATCTAGTAGCGCGCTTAAATTAATGCGGACTTTGCTCGATTATTGCTAAGAGAGTATATAAAGCTAATAAAGATAAGAATGATGAAGCTCCAGCTGTTGGTTTGAATATCTCGAAGGCAATTGACAGGGTTTGACATGCTGGTTTTCTTCACAAGTTGAATGGTTATGGTATTTCTGGACGAATTTTTGAACATTCAATTTAATTTCCATCAACGGCCTTCATGATCGCCTAATTTCTCAATTCGGTATCTATGCTGATGGTTGGTCGGTTCGATAAGGTCAGAGCAGCTTATCTAAAAAATTAGCTAGAATCTGTTGTTAAATAAGGCAAGGAATGGATTGTCAATTTTAACGCCTCAAAAACGAAACTGCTGTCTCTTAATCGTCTGAGAGAACCCTTCTTGATTTCCATCAGCATGGCTGATGCAAAACTCAAGAACAGTGACTCTTTACAGCTTCACTTACAAGCATTTTTCGCTGACATGAAGTGGAAAGATTATAGTTTTCTGCCAGCAAAGATGTTTCCGTCCTGTTAGACAATTTTTCTCGCCAGAGCATATCTTGTATATTTAGAAATATACCATTCGCCATTGTTTTAAATATTGCTGCGTCATCTGGTCTGATGCTTCGGCTATACATTTAGAGATTCCTGATAAAATCCAAAGAAGAAACTGCAATGTTATCGGTCCTGGTCTGGCATCTCGGCATCGATTACCTTCCCAGTGCTCTAACGTAGCTTGCTTGTGTCTTTTCTATAAATAATTTCATGGTAATTGTTCTAATGAACATTCGTCTATGGTATCTACATTCTATGAATTTAAGCGTAGTATTAGATAGGCGGTAAGGTCTCATAATTTTGCACTTCAAATGGTTAGATGTAACCGTAAGTTCTATGCTAACAGTTTCTTTTCTCGTTTGTGGAAATCTCTTCCGGCTTCTTGTTTTCGAGTCCATTTTAATCTTCAAAGTTTTAAATACAATGTCAATCGTTATCTTTCATCTTCTTAAATTCTATTTTTTTATTATTTTTACTCCTTAATAAATGTTGTAACCTAGTGAAGCTTACCGAATAGAATAGGTTGGTAATTAACGATAATACTTAGGACAAGAACAACATATACAAGATTCACCAGAGGCGCTTAGAAGTAGTCAACTGCTAGAAGTGAGTCAAGTGAATTCCACAATGAATGCAGGATATCTACTAAGCGGCGTACGCAGTCAGATGTGGCACAAGGCCGAATTTAATGTGGAGTGTCTGAGCCCGTAGGCTCGGCCAAAAATTCCCCGTAGACCCGGTATAAAACGGGGTCTGGGAGCTGTTTCCCGAGACGACTCTGCCTTTCGACATAGCCTCGTCTGGATATATAGTTTGACCAGCACAGTTGGAGACGAAACTCCAACTGCAGACCAACATACAGTATTTACTACTGTATTTATGTGAATGGTGACATACCCATTATTGTTCGTAGTTATGCTACAACAATATTTTTTTTCTTTTTCTTGTATTCTTTCACACTCAGTGATCACTTTCTGTCTCAGTGGCTTTATTACTTGCTTGGGGTGAAATGATTGAAAAAAGTGGAGGCAATAAGGAGAACATCTCATCAGAAAAAAGACAAAGGGTAACCACGTCACTTTAGTGGGGAAGTGACTGAAGTCGAGATTCCTGGCCAGGGTCCATTACATTACAGACCCTTGTTTCAATTTTGTCAAGAATCTCGTGATATATAGTAGGAAGCAGTATTCAATTCACGGACGAAATGGTAAATTTATAGATACGTAAGATGGGATTCTGGCCAGAGGAAGTGTCTAGCACGATATAGTGATCTAGCGTTCCTAGCAGAAGACCTAGCAATTGATTCAGTAAAAATTACTGGACTTCATGAAAACGTGTAGCCAAGAAGGCGTATAGTGTTACTTAACAATTGGACTACTTCATCCGTACTTACGTTTGAAAAATAATTTATATCCTGTCATGTAATTCATTTGTCGTCAGTTACAGGTTGTAGTTGCTTCTTTTTTAAGGCCATGTCCTTTCTGGACGTAGACGATCAGAAGTTCCCACTGTTGCCTTTCCTTTATTATTTATGATTTATTTCTCATTGTTTTCTCTAAGATTTGGAATTCATAATTGTCTTTCAGGAATAGCTTACTACCAAAAGCTCAAAAATTCAAGCTACCCTGCAATTCGACCAATAGCTGACAAGAGAAAGACTTGTGGCAAAGTGTGATTTTAGAACCATGGCATGTAGGCAATGATGACCGTTAATGGTTGCATGACAAATCGGAGAAAAAAATCAAATTGACAGATAATACTGGATACAGCAACACGGTGAAAAAAAATGACAGGTTTATTTTCGAAAGTCACGAAGGTGAACTGGACATAAACATATTACCAGCAACCACCATCATATATCTTCTTCTTCCTCTATGTGCCGTGTCCCTTCAGAACGTGTTCGATCATAGCTCTCCACAATTTCCTGTCCTTTGTAACTCTTAATAAATTTTCTCTTTTTTTTATTTCTCGTAAACCTTGTTCCAACATCCATTTACTCAAGTTCATTTTTCTTCCTCTATGTGATGTGACCCGTCATAACGTTGGCGATCATGCCTCTCCACAATTTCCTGTCCTTTGTTGCTCTTAATGAAATTTCTCTTTTTGTCATTTCTCCTAAACCTTGTGCCGCCATCCATTTACTCAAGTTCATTCTTCTTCTTCTTCTTCTTCTTTTCTTCTTCTTCTTCTTCTTCTTCTTCTATGTGCTTCAGAAGGTGTGCGATCATGGCTCTCCACAATTTCCTGTCCTTTGTAACTCTTAATAAATTTTCTCTTTTTGTTATTTCTCCTAAATCTTGTTCCAACATCTATTTACTCAAGCTCATTTTTCTTCCTCTATGTGATGTGACCCGTCATAACGTTGGTGATCAAGGCACTCCACAATTTCCTATCCTTTGCAGCACTTAATAAATTTTGTCTTTTTGTTATTTCTCCTAAACCTTGTTCGGCCATCCATTTATTCAAACTCATTGTTCTTCTTCTATGTGCCATATCTCTTTAGGAGGTAGGCGATCATGGCTCTCCACAATTTCCTGTTTTTGTAGCTGTTAATAAATTTTAGCTTTTTGTTATTTCTCCTAAACCTTGTTCCGCCATCCATTTACTCAAACTCCGCTAGGTGGGTTATGCATTGTTTTCCTCTGTCCCTCTTGCTTTCAATCTGGTCTGTGAGTATCAAATTTTACAAGCCGTCAAACATTTCAACTGTTTCTTCCTAATGCTTAGGTAAAACGACCTTTTTGTTTTCCTTACGGCAGAATAATAATAATAATAATAATAATAATAATAATAATAATAATAATAATAATAATAATTTCTTTTTCTTTTAGCTTTATCATTATTGTAAATTAAAAAAAAATCCAGACTTCCAGCGGAACTGAATTTCGCATTTTATCGAAGCATAGTGTATCTTTGTCGATGTCTGTATGTATATATCTGTATTTGTATATGTGTTTTGTATATGTGTATTTGTATATGTATGTGTATTTCTATATGTGTATTTCTATATGTGTATATGTGTATTTGTATATGTGTATTTTATCTGAGTATTTGTATTTTTACATGTAATATATTGTATATGTATATGTGTATATGTGCATTTGTATATGTGCGTTTTATATGTGCATTTTTATATGTGTATTTGAATACGTATATGTTTATATGTGTATTAGTATATATGTATTTGTATATGTGTATATATGTATTTGTATATGTGTATATTTGTATTTGTATATGAGTATTTGTATATGTATATGTGTATTTGTATATGCATATGTGTATATGTGTATTTGTATATGTGTATTAGTATATATGCATTTGTAGATGTGTATATTTATATTTGTATATGGACATGAGTAAGTATCGTATGGAGTGATTACCTATTTTTGCTTTTTTTAGAGTGCTGATTCGGCCATATTCCCTTTTTTGACGAAATTTTTGCAGTGAAAATTTTACTTCTTTTTCTATTCAATTTTCCGTGTTAATCCCGAATGTATGTCCATATCTAACCTTTCATCTGGTAGCGACTTATACTAAGTTAAAAGTTCTTATAGTCAATACCATTTCCATATCCGTATATTACCACCCTGGATGCAGGTACTAGATGAACTTTCAAACCCTGGGCATCTGAATATATGACCCCACCCATTTCACTTTTTTGTCTTGGTCGGCAGTCGTCCTATAGCTGATATCTTGAACAAAATTACCCTTCAATGCTTACAAACAAATATTCATGCAGGATCGGCCGTCACTCGGATCAACAAGGGCCGTGTCCATCAGAGAGAAACCAATCTGGGGCCGAAAATCACTTGAACAAACTATTCCAACAACGATGAAACACCTGGTCAGCAAACCCGGATTATTTCCAACGGTAAGGAATCAACTAATTAAAAGAAAGCAAGCGAAATGGTCTCGTGAAGAGCATCAATAAGTCATAACATTCTTTTTAACCGCACTCGAAAATCCACAAAAGAACATCAGGAATCAAACATACCAAATATGGAGAACTATGGCAGGGACATTGTGCGAAACAAAAGACTCTCAAATGAGAAAATAGATCAGATAAAACTAAATATAAGACAAAATATAATAACCAATGACTCAAACATTAAAAAAGATGAGACAGGAAATAAATAATATGAAAGAGGATGAGGTAAAAACTAAAATAAATGAGGTACGAATCTCTCAGGAAATAAAACTGAAGAATCTACCTGCGACATAAACAATTGCAGTTATTCAGATTATGTCACTGAAGATGAGTCAAACGATATTAGGGCAAAATTCCTTGAAAACAACAGAGGTGAAATCCCCGAAGCAAAAAAACACATCATTCAAATACTCAGCAGAGTAACTCACATGCAAATGTCAGCTGCCAAAAATGGAAAACTATGTTCGGAATTGGTATAAAACTCTGTCTCAACCCAAACATGCTTGCCAATGTCCATAGTGACATCGTGCAAAACAAAAGTCTTTCAAATGCAGAAATAGATCTGATAATACGAAATATAAGAAAGAATACAATAATCCATCGGTAACAAAAAAATGGATGAGAGCAGAAATAAATAAAATGACAATGAAGAAGAAAATAGATCGAAAGAGAAAAAGATGAAAATGCGAAAAAAGAAACAATGAAGAAAAAGAGAACGGAAAGAAACAAAGAAGAAGAAGAAGAGAAAGAAATGAAGTACAAAATGAAAGAAGAAGAAAGAAAGTACAAAAAGAAAGACAAAAAGAAGAAGCAATGGAATATAAAGAAGCAAAAGGAATGAAGAAGAAGAAGAAAAAGAAGAAGAAGAAGAAGAAATTAAACGTGGCGAAGAAGATAAAGAAGAAAAGAATTGAATGAAGAGGAAAAGAAGAAAATCAACGTAGAGGAACAGACGAAGGATTTTGTTAATCGTTTGTAAACTTGTGTTTCTTTATTTGTCAGAGTGTTGTACAAAACCCCGCAGGATCAAGTAAGTCTTTCCACAATCGTTTATTGAGTTTTTTTAAGCTTTTCCTCTCATATATTGATTGCTTACTGTGTTATTTTTTTTTTTTTTTTGCTGAGAGAGGTCGAGTTGCCTCCTCTAATCAATCCAGTACACTAGTTTACTCATTCTATTTTTCTTTTTAAACACTTTCCTTTTCCTCGTGCTTCGTCAAGTAACCTTGAAAACGTTCTTTCCCGCCTTCTTCAACAAACCGCCAAGCTGGTTGTTCAAATGGGGAGGAAAAAAGACAACATTTTACATAAAAGATTTAAACGAAGGCCGCTTTTCCTTTCTGTTTTTTTTTTCGCTTCCAATATTCGCAATCTAAATATGTTTTTGTTAAATTCTGAGCTGACAGGATAAATCTGAAATTCTCTAAGACTTACGTGATCTATTCGAATGTGAAAGTCCCAAAGAATCTTTTTTTCTTCTGTTGTCTTGGAGAATTTCTGTTTTATATTCCTGTCTTTAATCAGCAGGATCACCTCAAAATCATTTGCACAATTTGTAATCGATCACAAAAAGTACTCTTCTTCTTCTTCTTCTTCTTCTTCTTCTTCTTCTTCTTCTTATTATTATTATTATTATTATTATTATTATTATTCTCTCTTCTTATTTTCGTTATAATAATAATAATATTAATAATAAATGTCACATACTGAAGAATCTGATGTAAACAAACCCCGTAACTCTCAGTGGCTACGTAGTGCATGTTTAAATGCTGAAACTGAATATTTTATTCTTTTTGCACAGGACAAATATTTGCTAACTAGAAATTACCAAGCACTCATCCTGAAAAATTATGTTAGCCCAAAATGCAGATTTTGTGATAAATATCTAGAAACAATAGAAAACCATCTTGTATCAGATTACACGGCATTTGGCATCGACTGAATATAAATTCCAACATGGCAGAATGAACCAAAATATGCAGTGGAAAATCTGAAACGGAAAGGAAACTGCGAGAAATTGGTATGAACACCACATAAACCCGTTTACGGAGATAGGAGCCGTAATAATTTTATGGGACTTTACAATATACACAGATAGACCGTTAAAAATAAAATATGCTTTCCCATTGACATGGCAGTCCCTGCAGACTGTAATGTATCTTTGAAGATGTATATAAAAAAAACTATAAAAATACAAGTACCTTGAAATCGAAATCTTACAAATGTGGCGCATGAGGACATCAACATCAGCAAGATGTAGTTGAAGTTCTCGGATTGATTGGAAAAGATTCCAGTCGACTTATTGAAGTATTTCCTGGTAGCCCATGACTTAAACAAATACAAAGAATTGTAAAGCTCACACCATACAAAGTACTTTATCCATGTAAAATATGTATGTTTTTTTTTCCCCTCAGAAATGCTCGGTGGAAAATGTCATGACGCCATTTCTGACCTTAGGTCTCTGGTTAGGATCCGGAAAGAAATACGTATACACCAAAAATCAAATAAAAGAAAATAATAATAACAATAATAACATTAACAATATCAATGTAGGCTTACGGACATATTACATTGAAACCCCGAAGTTAAACAACGTCGAGCTTGGTAATACCTAGATGGGTGACCACTTGGGAAAGCCAGTTGCTTGTAATCTTGGATGTATGGATGGTGTAATGTATAACAACTCGGGATTGGAAATCGAAGAGACGAGTTCTAGTTCCAGTCGTGTCCTTTATATTCACTTAGGCGAAAATGCCATTAGGAAAACTATGGGTTAATTAGTAAGTATTTTATCAGTAAATCATTATTATAAAAAAAAAAAAAAACTTCTTATAATCAAATAATAATTTTCTGGCTTTAAATAACATGAAAAAAGCCGGAAATAAAGAAATCAATAATAACGTAGCTTCCCTCTGCCTTTTCTATAAATATTTTCATGTTAATTTTTCGATGAACTTTCTCCTCTTTGGTACCTAGATTTTAAGAATTTAAATGCAGTACTAGATTGGCGGGAGAAATCTGATCATTTTGCAGTTGAAATGACTAGATGTAACCGTAAGTTCTATGCTAAATCTTTCTTTTCTAACACTTCTTGCTTGTGGAAATCTCTTCCGGCTTCTCGTGTTTATACCAACTGTTTTCCCGAGGAAAAATGTCTTTTACACATTACTAAGTAGATAACGTTCTCACCCAATGATGTTGACTTTAAGATTCTTTCGATGCATATCACTTCACTGACTTCCGTCTGGCAATATCCTGTTTTCAGGATGGACTGTTGATATGATTTAATCATACAGAAACATAGTCATTTGCCCAGTTCCAATCAAAAACCATTCCTGCCCAAGCACGTTGATTCTTACTCATCTGTTACATTTATTATATATATATATATATATATATATATATATATATATATATATATATATATATATATATATATATAGGGTGCGATGGATAAATTGTCGTCTAAATTATGCAAAAATGAAAATAACCCTGACATTTCATTTTAACAGGTATATTTACCAAAATTATACAAAAATATATTGAATCGTCATTGGTTTCACCATGTCTTCCAGGCGACTTTGTAATCTCTTGCATCTTTTCTGGGCGGTCCCCATGTTTAAGTGGTGAATGCTGCCATAATTCTTTTTCTTTTCTTTGGTCTTACAAGGAGTTTTTTTTTTTTTTGGTATTTTGCTCAATTGCGCCCCACACATAATAATCAAGGGGTTTGCAATCTGGAGAATTAAGTGATCAGATGTTAGGGGTGATGCGGTTGCAGAAATTGTCTGACAACCATAAATGAGTGTGGCATGGTGCAGTGTCCTCTTGCCCGACATCGGGTCTTCCAGCAGCCATAATCTTGGCAGAACTACCTCCTCAAGGCACCTTATGTACACCCCCGTGTTGAGTTTTAGACCCTGTAGCAAGATGAATCGGGGTATGACGCTGCCATCACTACTTCCACAAGACACTTGATATAGCTCTCCGTGTCAAGTCTGAGTCGCTCACTAACAAATTTGGGAAATCTTTTCTTATCAAAACGATCAGAGTGGGGTTTCCGAGTTGCCGTAGACTCATTAGACTCATCCAACTCTTTTCGAATTCACTGCATTATCCTGAGACACTATGAAATGTTCGTATTGGAACTTACGGCGCGAATGCCAAACAGTACAGAATATCGTTTCTGTCGGAGTGAATGGTGCTCACAGGCAGTCCCAAAAGGAACCTAATGTACTGTGCAGTCGACAGAACCAAAAACAAACAAAGCACATGTGGAAATTTAAAAATATAAAATGGCGACAATTAACCCATCGCACACACACACACACACACACACACACACACACACACACATATATATATATATGTGTGTGTAAAAGAACGAAGTGCAATTTTTCATTAATGCATGTTTCATTAAATAATATTGACAAGTTTTGCACTTCCTTGCCTTTAAAAGAGTGCCCTTTGCCGTGCTGATGTTGCTGCATGCCTTATTCTTGCCTATCTCAAACTGCGAATTTTTTCTAAGCTCTATACTAAACATTAAATCTGTTACGAAAAAAGAACTAAACAAAATGAACACAAAACGATCAGCTTAAAAAAAAAAGACTCCTAACTGGAAAAACCGAATGAAAAAAGAAGGTTAATAACAAATACTTTTTCACATCCAACCCAGTTCTGCGGAATCAGAATCAACGTTGAGTTTAAGCAAGCGAATGAGCCAATTGGAGTAAAGTGCCATGCAGATTTAAATTTTCCCATTTGTGACGAATGCAGCTATCGATTTTTTGCATGCTAGTTAATATTTGTGTCAGTCAGCTGTTGGTTTTCACGCTGGCCAATAGAATCTTCCTGCCTATTCGTGGCAGCCAGCTATAGGCTCTAGGTCTTGGCTTTCCCGCTAACTTGGAGCATGTGCATGTAAATTTTGGTGCAAATCCGTCGAAAACTGCGGCTGTGCATTCGTTACACACACACACATCCTGCCTTTTATAGATAGAGATTCCCGATACTTTTTGATGAGACCTCTTATATATATATATGTATATATATAAATATAAAAGTGAACAGTTTGTTTCATGCTATATGCAACTGCATATAGCATGAAACAGACTGTCGCCTCTAAGTGTTGACTTCTATGTTCACTTTTATATTTACACACGAGCTCTCTGATATTGAGCACTTTATCCCATAAATATAGCACACCTTAAGACTATATTTTTTCATATATATATATATATATATATATATTATAAATTAATTGATTTAAAATATGTTTTTTTTTCGCTACACAGTTCTAACCATGTTTCAAAAATGGAAGCTGAAAGCTCCGAATTTAATTTTGTAATTAAATTAAGGACATTAGTCACATTTCATCCTCAAGCGAATTTTGGAGTAACTTTTAAAATTACTGGGTTTTAAAGACACAGCAAAAAGGATACAGAGAAATCCACTTCAACCAGACGAGGGGGTGTCTGCGTGTTCATTATGTCTGTATTGTGATGTATCAGTTATTAGTTACGTTTTGGTAGGGGGTACGGATGTATTTTTCAATGAAATCTGACATCAGTTAAATGCATGTCGTCTGTATTTTTTTAAAATTTATTGTTAACGGCAAAAATTCTTACGGCATTTTTTTCTATTTGCATATTTAAAAATTTTGGTGGGTGTTTAGGTTAGAATACGTTTTATTTAACTACGATTTGAAATATTTTCACTTTTAATTTTTAATATACTATATTTCTTTTAAGAACAAGTAAACATATTAGAATCCCTTACAGTATGTAGAATTATTTTCACATCAAGTATAAGTATGTATATTATTAGGTAACAATTATTTTTTAATTATATTTAAATATTATTTAAGTAAAATTTATGACAATGACGGCAAAAATAGCCAATTATTTTCAATGATTTAGTAAACATTTATTTTTTATATAAACCTAGTAATATATTGTTTCTCATGTAAGTACAAAGG